AATAATAATAATAATAATAATAATAATATTAGATTTATATAGCGCTAAAATTATAAAATATTAAAGCGCTTTACAATGTTGAATCCCTTGGTGTCTAGGAAATTCACCAATCTGACTGGTTCCCCCGCTTTTATCTATTTGTACAATGAAACAAGCATTGCACTTCAAGCAAAAATGTTGTCGTTGTAGGCTTATCAATATATTGATCCACTCAAGACCAGGCCGGTAAGGCTGTAATACAGTATTCGAGATAAGGGTCAACATGAAAATAAATAATACAAAAGTTCATTAGTTTATTTTCTCCAATTTTTCGTCGCCTTCAATGCTTACCTTAATTTAGATGGAATTTCACGCATCCTTTCATTGTCAGAAAGTCGAAAAATAACGCGAATTGAACTGCAATGACATGTGAAAATTTCGATGAGGGATGAGTGGACAGCTAGTGAATGTTTCCAGGGTCTTATTAGCTCTGCTCTTTAGAGGATGAAAGTGACCATTGAAATCAGGACTCTTCCCTTAAGAACCCCTTTAAAACTTCATAAGTCTATACATGTATAGTAGTTTACTGATAAGCAAATTAATTACTTACAGTGTGTTGTTTTAAAGTTCAAAGAGACGATGTCCCTTGCGCGTCAGTAGAAAACTTGGCACTAGAAGGGTAAGTGTTCTTTTAGATGTAAAAGTACACTTTAAGATTACGAATTTTCTTATAAAATTGGACCATCACGACATTATATCATTGGTTTTTACTTTCTTTTTTACTTGCTTACAACCATGTGTAGGAAAAAAAGATGGGGGCTGCACATTTTACCACAATACCATGCGTGACTTACACAGCCCATAAAGAACAAGGAAAGCCATATTTTTGCAGTTCTTGCCCTTGTGCTAATGACATTGTGTATGCTAGGTTTCAAGATTTTAGAACTTTTTGGTACGTTTCTATGAGCGATCTTAAAGTCAGTTCGTGCGCTAACGGCATGGGTAAAATGTACAAGTCATCTTCTTCTTTCCTATGATGAATTTATTTCTCTGTTAGATTCGTTATTGATATTGATATTGTTGTCGTCTTTGTTATTTTTATCAATTTGATCAAGGGTTGTGTGCGTGCTTTTTTAATGGCAATGTCATTGACGATTAATTTTGTTCACCGTTATTTATTTAGAACTCTTTCCCATCGGGAGATCCCACCACAACAAATCAACCTGAGAAGTGTGTTGGGAAGCGGCACATTTGGTGAAGTGTGGAAAGCTGTTGTGTGGGGTTTGAATAGATATCCAGGACATGCTACTGTTGCTGTGAAAAAGCTGAAACGTGAGAAACTGTTCTTTAGTGTGACTGTACTGAATGGATCATTTGTGTGATTATAACGTTATTGTAACTAGTATCGTATGACAAAGAGGGTTAGTGTTGATCCATCAAGTAGTTGATGGAGAGAGCTGGAGACTTTTTTCCCACTTTTTCGTCAACGGAAACTAGGTAAAACGATAGTCTGCATACGAACCAAGTGGCTCATCAGGCCGGAGCTTATCCCAGTTTCTGTAGCATGAAGCAAATAGAAGAATTTCTACTCTCCATCCCCACCCCCCCAACCGGGGGGATGCTAGTCCATCGCAAGGTTATGCAAAGCATTAAATTCGCCGGTACCCATTTTTACACCTGGGTGGACAGAAGCAATGTGAGAGTTAAGTACCTTGCCCAAGAACACAACACAGTGTCTCCGGTGGGCACTCTAATCCGGACGGCTCGCTCCGGAGTCGAGGCCACTAACCACAGACTACCGCGCCTCCTAATCATAAGTTATATGGCAATTTCTCTGGTACAATTTTTTGTTTTTCAATGTACAGAAACTACGCCTTACAGAATCATCTAACTTGAAGGCAGTAATAGTGATATTAACTATGATTTTTATGATTTCTATTTTTTATTTTGTTTTCTCAACAGACAACAGCTCGGACTCAGAAAAGGAATCTCTTGCACAAGAAATAGAGTTAGGGCGGTCGCTCAAAGGAGACAGACATTCAAACATTGTTAACTTTCTTGGTTGCGTTTCTACCTCAGGTTTTTAGGACCATTCAGTTAAATACTTGTCTCTTTGATTGCTTGAGTCACGTGTTTTGCTTGAGTCACGTGATTTGGGTTAATGACCTGGCCTATCACGTGGTTACACTTAGTTGTCTCATGTCTCATTTCTTGTCTACAATTTACGACCGCGTTAGCATTGTGTTATAATTCTTATAATTCCTCTTATTACCAGATGCTCCGTTAATGCTGCTTCTTGAATATGCACCATACGGAGATTTGCTTGGTTACCTAAGAAAAAGCCGAGGTCTAGAAGACAAGTATTACAGTTCCCCCGAGTGTTGTCAACAGGAAGTGACGTCATATGATCTGGTCTCGTTCTCCCAGCAGATTGCTTCCGGCATGAGCTTCCTAGCATCTAAGAAAGTATGAATCATCGAATTGGATCGAATTATAGCTTAGATTCAATTGAATTCAACTCGACTCAACTAGACTTCGATTTGACTCTACCGGATTCGACCCGACTCCATTCGATTAGACTATATTACGAGTTAGCTGACAGGTATAAGTACTGACCGATATTCGCCAATTATTTCTTCTGTCATGTAAGCTCTGCTGTATAACATAACTGCATTATAGCCGATATTTCTTTATTACCGTACCCAAATTCCCAATTAGCCATAGAGGAGCTATGTGAAAGAAATCTATTCAACCGAATATTAGAATATGTTGTTTCGTGTCAATTAATGCGTATAGACAAAAATATTCTGCGATATCAAGTCACTGACCTGTTATGGCTACGATATCATGCTCTCTTGACCGAATTTGGGTACGGTAAATACTCTCTCACCAAATTACGAACCATGGCTCTACCAAACTCGCCTAATATGCCGCCGAAGCTTACCAAAAAGCTAGATTGGGTATAAGAATATGTATCTATTCAATTTGCATAATTTGAACAGAACTGTTTCTTTTCGCCTTATTTTTTGAATTTTCCATTGGAATGCCACATCTTGAACAGCTGGTTAAATGTAACATGACACCAGTACAGTTCGGTTAATTGATTTCTATTATTTATTTTAATATTGGCATACATTTAATAGATCCTTCACCGTGATCTCGCCGCTAGAAACATACTCGTAGGTGAAGGAAGAACCTGTAAAATAACAGACTTTGGACTGGCGCTCTTACGAGATAAACATCAGTATCTTTACTGTACGACGATCAGAAAGGTAACTTCATTATCTAAGAAAAAACTGAATCTTTTACCACGTGTCTACTCTGTATCGACTAACAACCTCAGGAATCTCATGTTGGGCCTGGTCCTAATTAACATAATCGATTTTGCAGAGAGAAAGCATAATGCTAGATACCAATTGACAACATTTGAATAAGTTCAATTTAGATAACTTGGGGAACTGTTGAGAAGTTTGGCTCTTTGGGTGTAAATTCAAGAACAAAACTGACTTTTAAAACTGCAAAATTTCCGAGTGGCAAAAATGCTAATGCGCTCATGCAATCTTTGTAAAATATCGAGTTTTTAAATTTGGGTCGCACAAAAGGAGTTCAACACATCCACTCAAATTCCACGGGAAGATTAATCGTGCTGTGCCCCTTCAATATTCAGCACTGATATTTTTGTAGCTTGAGCAGACACTAGACCCCTTATACACATTATAAGGAAAGTATTGTAGACAAAGATTCCCTGTAAGCATGAGGGAACTGGCAATAAACTTGCTCTATTTTCTAGCAACAGGAACCAATTATATGAAAATTAATGAATTATCAACAAAGAGTAAAATATGACATTCAAAATTTCTCTAGAATTATTTTTTTATTGGCGTCCTCTCTTAAAATAGAATTTCATGAACTATATAATCTTCTTCTATCCTTGAAATTTCTGTTGTTATTAACCCAAAATACTGGATCTAATTTGCTCTGAAGAATATTTATATCTAAATGTTTTTGTATATTTGGAGGCGTTTGACAGTAAAATATGGAAATAAAGAAAAGAACTTTGGACAATCGGCTGGCATACTGCCCCTTTAAATTTTTGTACTAGGTGTAATTTATCTTGTTTTTCCCTAATAGGGCCGGCTGCCAATCAAGTGGACCGCTCCTGAACATTTGTTTAATGATTGCGAGGAAAATGATATCAGAGTGTCGGAGAAAAGCGACGTGTAAGAAACTAGAAAAACTTGTTTTTAACTCCATTTAATCCAGGGAACTGGGAAGGGGCGAGGGGCGGTGCCTACTCTAACTTTCACCGTTTATACCGTTATCAATATTTGGAATTTACCTGCGTACAGCCTTACGCATGTCATTTACTCGGACTTGTGCGCTTTCGTGGCCGTTGTATGCTTTTTTTCAGTTTTGTAGTTTTCTTGTTATATCAAAATTCGACTTCTTGCAAATATTTTTAGATTATTAGGCTCTTTTTACCATCTTTTTATTGATTGAGCTTACTCTAGAGACATTTCTTTTGATTTTTTGATGTTTAGAAAAATCAGTGAAATCCAACATGGCGGATCCAAGGTGTCTGCTGTTTAGAGTTCATTACGTAATTTCATCGTCATATGCCGTCATAATTATTTGTTGCTTACCGCAAAGAAAACATGTTTGGAGTTATTATGTACCGTCCAAGTTTTGCTCTCTTTGCTTAATATAAATACTCATGAAGTACCTCGGGGGAAATCCTCCTGTTGTCGTGGGACATCCAAAAAAGGGTTAATTGCAACAGGAAATCTTTTGTTACTATTATGAGATCCTACATTGTATGAGAAAGTTGTTGAAGCTTAAAATTGATTTGAGAGAATTAATATTATACTTGGAATTATTGTGAATTTACGTTGCTTGAAATTACTCAAATAAACGTGGAATTATTGCTGGAGGTAAATGTGCAGTTTTATAATGTATTATAAAAACTATTGTATAATAAAACTAATTTTATTTAAACATTTTCTAATTCCATTAGATGGTCTTACGGAATTGTTCTGTATGAGGTCTTCACTTTAGGTGAGATTTACCAATCATGTTCAATACGAACAAACACTTTTATTCTAACCTTCGATTAATATTTTCCTGTAGACAACGATTTTTGTCACAAAAACAGCCGGACTAATACTTAATCAATTTTGTTGTTGTTTTTAGCTGTTACTTTTCTTTCGAGTGTTAACCGTTGTTGATTTTGTCAATGCTAAAAATAAACTAATACCTCTTACTAACCGAGTTCGAGGTCCGTACTGTAAGTTACCGACCGAGTTTTTTCCCCTTCGATTTATGGCGCGAGCGCGAAGCGCGCGGGTCATAAATCGAAGGGGAAAAAACGAGGATCGGTAACTTACAGTAGGGACCGAGAAGACGAGGTTAGTAAGATATTTATTATATCCCTACTGTGTGCCTGATGGGTTCGGAAACGATTTCTATTCACGCAGACTCGGAAAGGATTCAAATTTCTGACGCACCTCGAAAGCAAAACGAGTCAGTTTGAAACTGTTTTTAAGTCGTTAGCAAGCGTTATTACATAATTTAGAGTATAAGAAAGTTTTAAACTTTCACTTGCTATAAAAGTTAAGAACACTTATCGATAAATCACGAAACAGTTTGGCAACAAAAGCAACTTTAAATTTTAGCTGGCCGTACAAGAGAGTACGGCCCGCTAAATTGACCAATCACAGCGCGAGGACTAACTGAGAGATATAATAAAGAAAGGTTAAAACAGGTCGCTTAGCTGAAAAATTCTGAAGATATTTTTGCATTATTTGGTGAATTCAGTGGAAACATTATTGCAAAAATATAATTGCATTCATTCTTAAAACGGCGATGCATACTGACTTACGTCGTAGGAGGCCTTCCTTACCCTGGGTGGGGTAAGTGGAAGGTAGTGTACGAGCTGAAAGTCAACAAGTACAGAATGGATCAGCCGGATCATATCAGCGATGAGATGTAAGTGCAAAAAAGAAGTTTTATTTTATTTTATTTATTTTATTTATTTATTTATTTATTTATTTATTTATTTATTTATTCATTTATTTATTTATTTGTTTGATCACCTGGTATGTTAAAAAGCGCACTATAAATCAATAAATTATTATTAATTATTATTATCTTTCAAAATGATTGTTTCTAGCCCAAAAATGTGACAAAAACTTGAAAAATATTAGAATTTCTTTTCCATTTTAAACATTCGGCTGGGTTTAAATCGAGTCCACTGCTGGTTTTATTCACAGCATNCGCGTTATTACATAATTTAGAGTATAAGAAAGTTTTAAACTTTCACTTGCTATAAAAGTTAAGAACACTTTTCGATAAATCACGAAACAGTTTGGCAACAAAACCAACTTTAAATTTTAGCTGGCCGTACAAGAGAGTACGGCCCGCTAAATTGACCAATCACAGCGCGCGTACTAACTGAGAGATATATTAAAGAAAGGTTAAAACAGGTCGCTCAGCTGAAAAATTCTGAAAATATTTTCGCATTATTTGGTGAATTCAGTGAAAACATTATTGTAAAAATATAATTGCATTCATTCTCAAAACGGCGATGCATACTGACTTACGTCACAGGAGGCCTTCCTTACCCTGGGTGGGGTGAGTGGAAGGTAGTGTACGAGCTGAAAGTCAACAAGTACAGAATGGATCAGCCGGATCATATCAGCGATGAGATGTAAGTGTAAAAAAGAAGTTTTATGTTATTTTATTTATTTATTTATTTATTTATTTATTCATCCATTTATTTATTTATTCATTTATTTATTGTTTCTTTGAAAATGATTGTTTCTAGCCCAAAAATGTGACAAAAACTTGAAAAATATTAGAATTTCTTTTCCATTTTAAACATTCGGCTGGGTTTAAATCGAGTCCACTGCTGGTTTTATTCACAGCATGAATTCAGTAACAAAATGTTACACAATAAAAATGTTTCTTCTCTTTCACTTCACCAAGGCAACACATGTGGCTTCCTATTCAACAATAGCCATTTTAAATAAATAAGTAGATCACTTTATTTAAGTGTCAGAGTCTTTAGCACTACTGTACTAATTGTGGACACTGAAATGTGCAAACAACTGTTGTAAATTAAACAGAAACTTGTTAAAAATCCCAACTGGCGGGAGGCTGACCAGTTGGCTATTTACAAAGCGTGGAGGAGGTGAGTCTGGGACCACCAAACACTGAAATGCATCCACTGACAGGGAGGAGGATTTGAACCCCGGACCTCAGGATTACAAATCCAGCGCCCTAACCACAAGGGCATACCACTCCACTTCTCACGGTTAATGTTTCTTATTTGCATTAAAATAAAATTCAATATGTATGTGAGACAAAGTTCTACCTCGCATCCAAGTTGGATTTACATTGTAAAACAAAAGAGGAAAGCTAATCGTGAAAAGCGCTGTTCTTGAGTTTGGTTGTCGCAAAATATCGCCATTTGACAGTATCACGCAGAACAATTATTGATTTTTCTCTGAAGCCGAAGGTTTCGGAAAGTAATACTTTGAAATTAAGAAAATATAATCGGAAAAATAAACAATTAATTTACCGGAGAATAAATAATCTACTTGCCACTGATGATTCACTCTTTAAAGTAGTTGTTAATAATTTCTCACAAACAGATATCAGATCATGTTAGATTGTTGGCATGAAAACCCGGATCTTCGTCCAACCTTTGAACGTCTTTACCAGGTCACAACAGAATTATTGGAAGTAGAGGTAAGGTTACGTAAAATTATGAAACCTGTCTTGGCTTATATTCAAGTGGACTATATCTGAAATGAACTGAACCATATCTGAAATGATCCAGAGAGAGGTCTTTTTCGGGATAAATTTGTAAAGGATGACCAACCCCTTTTCAGAAGCATTTTTCATTTACGCACGGCAGTGCAAAGCAATGATGGCCTTAAGAAATTTGTCTTCAGATATTGCCCAGTAAACATCGCGCAATGATGAAACTCAGCTTCATTAACATTTTTAGTTTAGGCTAACGGCGGCCATGACTATTCAGGATAGATCACAGAGCAGTTTTCACGGTGCGTCCTTAGCATCCCAGGACTCGCAACACAACATTTAAGGAATTCACTTAATGAATAGAGGAAGTCTAATTTAGCAGCTCTACCACGAATGCAAACATAATATTTTGGTGGCTTTTTTTGCGTACAAAAGTTTGTCACAAGAGCACAGCTATTGCCTAAAGACAGACTACCTAACTCAACAGTATTTGAACAATGTCTCAGGCTATGAAAGTGAGTTTTTATTTGGGCTAACAATGTTTTACGGGTTACTAGTTATGTTTAATCATGCAGGTAATCCAATTCAAATGACTATGAAAACGATCGATCTCGTCACGATAGGCTATTTTGTATCTGGTTGAGTTGCCTATTGTCGCTCACAATATTCTTTTCTCAGCACTACCTTGATCTGGATATGTCAAAGTACGAAGCACATCTTTACTCAAATTTGGAAGAAATCGAGGCTACCTTGGGTCCTGCGAACTCTTTGGAGACACGAGGACTCTCTGACGAAATGGTAACCATGCCGACAGAGGAACAGGACAGCAGACTTTAGAACTGGCTCAGAGCCATTTGGAAAAGTGTTTTTTTTTCCAAAAATGAACAGTGAAGCAAACATTAAACAGATTGAAGGACAATAGTGAGGTAGTGCATAAGGTTACGTTAGGGTACGAACAATAAAACTACAGTAGTAATTTTGAACTGATTTGCTTTCATGATATAATTACGAAAAGAAAGCATTTAATCAACTGTCAATATGACAAGCAAAATTTATTTTAATTTATTTTCACGGGAACTAATTTTACGAAAACTGAATTTTTGGTTAAGCCAATCTGTGGTTTCAAAGTATAAATAGCAAAATGCAAAAAAAGGAAAAGAAAAACAGGAATAGGCCATTTCCGAGTTACCTTGTGCCTCTGTTTTTTTTTTGGTTTTGTTTTTTGTTTTTTTCTTTAATGAGTCCTAGTTCAAAACCCTTCATATGAAATTGAGTTTGTTTCCATGGAAATGACCGTAAAGGTTTAAAACATTTTCATATGAATGGTATCCCACGAAGACTGGTTTTGACATAGAGGCTGAGGGCAACTCGGAAATGGCCTATTCTTCTGTCATTTGTACTCTAACAACCGTGTTGTGTTACTAATGATATGATAAGCCTGATTTGTCTCTAGCAGCGATAATTTGCTTGTCTTTAGTACTAAAACTTTTTAAGAAAGAAATATAATATATTTAATTACATACAGTTTCCTTCTAATTATACTGTAAACTAAACCGGAGCTTCAGATGTGAATGCCACGTTATATATAGGCGGTTAGTTGGGTAGAGTGTACTGGAGCGCAAGGAGTTACAGTGTTCGTAGCCACGGCGCCCAGCATGAAGATTATAGTTATTTTCTCCCAACGGGGGCCAATAGTAATACGGTAATGGCATTTCAATTATAATAATACTAATAATAACTAATATTTTCAGCGGACTCGGCAGTCACGTAATACCAGTGAACCTGTTTTATACACAAAGGCCTTCCGGAAATAAAACGTACAAAAAGAGATGTTAAAACTCAAATGTGCGGACAAAATACAAAAAAAAAACAATAGTTCAAAAATGAATAAATTATTTAAGGCTAAAGAGTGCTAAAACTAATCAAAATATTCTACACTAAGGATTGAGATTAAGACCTCCTTGTGCCGCGCTGGTAAATTCTGAGACACTAGTTAGGGATGTCCAGTCTTTAAAACATATTTTCTAAAATACCTTGTCTATAAAACTGCATCTGGCTTTGCATGACGATTCCATCATTCTTTAAATTCAATCATTCTATTCAATCAGTCTTTAAACAAACTAAGGACAATAACGTAAACATTGTAAAACTGCTGTTGATTAAAATAACCCTAAACCCATCTTTCAACAATTTTCACTTGGTTGTTGACTTTTTCTTCACCCCTTTCTCTCCCCTGTCCAAATGGGCATACGACATGAGACATCTTCCTCTGTTTTATGCGAATTATTTTGTATTCAATAGATAGCCCTCGGCTTGCGCTATACGATAACGTAATTTTATGTCAATAAGTCAGCCATATTGTATTGGTCATCTTGGATTCAATATTGTCACAGGAAGTCAGAAAATAGCGTAAATTGATTGGAAATTGTTAAAAAAAATGATACTAGAATATAAAAAGGTACAACCTCTGCAAGAAAACAGAAAAAACCCGAAGAATTCTCTCAAACAATGCGAAATTTGAAATGACTAACGTGTTAAAATGCGGTTGCTATATCAATTTCAAATGACGTGAAGAGATAATTGACAGGTCTTGACGAGGCATAAATAAAAAGCTGCTGAAGTTTACAGTATCAAGGAAGAAATCCCCTTTTCAAATTTCTGAAAAATACTTTTTTGAGGCGGGAAGAACGCCTCCCCTTGCTATGTATGAGGGTTGAGGCAGTGAAACACAAAGAAAATATCTTAAACAAGCTGAAATTAATGGTCGAATGTTTTTCAGGATAAGTCGTAATGGAACCCAAATTGCAGAACGAGAAACGCTCAGCTTTCTTCGAACATTAAAACGTGTCGCAAAAGCTTCATAAAATTGCCCGAAAAGTTATGAGCCAAAAAGGAAGCTGTACCCGGGATCACAGAAATTATCTTTCCCGATTGCCCCTGAGAAACTTTGAAGACGTGATAAAATTCAGTTGCAATTCATCTCAAAGTGACATTACGTGCACTTATATGATTAGTATCTCTGACACGTTTGTTAGTTAATAAAAGAGTCAACTTCCTCTAAAAATTCTTATTACAACGGTTTTAAACAAGATGAAGCTTATATAACATTGGAGTACCTATCGTAACTGCAAAACCTGGGCACAAATCTGTATGCACTTCTAATTTAGGAAAAGCATCTTTAATTAGGACTGAGTTTATCTAGCAGTGTGAACTGCGTCACTTACGGTGAGTCGCGTAAATGTTTTTAAGCTCAATTATGTCACCTGCAAGCCGAACTACAACAACAGAAAAAACCTGCACGGTTATATTTTATTTCGGTTTATAAAGATTCACTGCACTTATATCATATCAGACTCTTTCAAGCGGGCCATGCTAGGGAGCCAACCAAGAGATGATAAAGGTATGTATCTTCGCTTTATTCTAAATCCTTAAATTAAAAGTGTTCATGGGGTTTTAACTATATTTGTTTATAACAAAAAAAGCAATTTACTTTTCGGCACCACGGCTTTTTATAGCCGTGAATATGAAAACAAATGAAGTCTCAGCTTTTTGTGCTGTTGACACATAAATGAACCATTTTTTTCTTTTTTTTTTT